ATTTCTCCATCTTCTCTCAAGATCATCGTGTGCTTATTAGGACATTGTGATGCAACATGCCCCCTTCCCAAGCATCGAAAACACTTGATGTCTCGGTTTCTGCCTTGCGTATTATCTGTTTTACTCTTCTCATTGCTGCCAACTTCTTTTGACTTAGATGCTGCAGTTTTAGGCTTAAAAACAGAATTTTCTTCCCTTTTTGCTCCAATTCAGTTTCCAAGAAGATGAGAAACCTGAATTTTGCCCATTTCTGGTGGTGGCTCCTTTACGCTTGAGTTGCCGTTCTACTTTCATCGCCATATGCACCATATCTTCCAATTCCACATAATGCTGCAGCTCCACCACATTAGCTATATCACGATTTAAGCCATGCAGAAACCATGCCATAGTTGCTTCTCTGTCCTCTTCCACATTCGCTATAACCATTGCGATTTTCATCTCTTTGTGATAATCCTCAACGCTTTTGGACCCTTGAGTAAGGCCCTGCAATCGTTGATAGAGATCATGGTAGTAGTGACTAGGAACAAATCGTTTTCTCATCACAGCTTTCATCTCTTCCCAAGTGTCAACAGGATGCTCTCGATTTCTACGTCGACTAAGCACAAGCTGATCCCACCACACCACAGCATAATCAGTAAATTCCACCACTGCTAGTTTCACCTTTTCTCCTCAGAATAGTTATGGCAATCAAACACCAATTCCACCTTCTTTTCCCACGCCAAATACACATCTGGATCATTCTTGCCTTGAAATAGAGGAGGAATCTTCATCTTGATGCTACCTAAGTCACGATCTTGCCAATCTCTCCACCTTGTCAAATTTTGCTCTCTTTGGCCCCCTCTACCTCTCATAATTCTGTCCATGCTGAAATTTGAGTTCTGGGCGTCAATGTTGAATGCATCTTTATAATTGTCATAGACATCATCATTAGCATCATTCCTATGGAAATTCAGACTTCCATTCTGTGTTTGGTATAACTTGGCAATCGCTGCATCTTGCTTCTCCATTTTGTCTTTAATCTCACCAAACATGATGTCCAACCTCTGAAATTGTTGTTGCATTGCTTTGAGCATGAAGGATTCATCCACTTGGTGTTTTCTGTCATCACCGCATGACATGATTGAAACCTGCAAGGAATGTTAAAAACAGAAAATAAAAGGACCTCTCAACACTCCCTTACGTGTTTCACTCCACTCTCTCACAGAATGGCACTCAACGCTCGTGTTTGTACACTATAGAACTTGGCTTTTCTCTCAAGTATTGCTCACACCTCTTGCCTTTTTCCCTTACTCAACTTTCCTCTTTCAGTTCGTTATTGAACTAAACAAGCTCAATTCCTTGCAACATTGCCAGCAACATCAATACCGAATTCGGTGCCTAGGGACGCCTGGGGACGCCTGGGGCCGCCTGGGTTCGGCATCGGTGGATGATGGGTATTTTAGAAGGAATTATTCAACCCTTGCTGCAGCTGTAGCAACAGTAGAGAGTGAAGAGGAAGAAGTAGGTGAAAGCGAGGGAGAGGAAAGTGATCAAGGTGAAGGGGAAGAAAAGGAGGGTATAGATCTGGTTTTGTTCTTTGCTTATTTTGTGTTTTCTATGTGTATTTTTTGAGTTGATTAAGTGGTTTTTGTGTTGATTATATTCGAGATTAGATCTGCAGTTGGCTTGTATGTGAATGTGATTTGGCTCGAATTGCCTTTTTTCTAGAAATTCTTTACTCTTTTTAATCTATGTTCCTTTCTGTTAGTTGGCTTAGGAGATCTCCGCTTTGCTGTTTAGTATATTCGAGATTAGTTTCCATGTTATGTGATGAAACCCAGATTTGGGTTTGAAAGAGGAAGAAGAAAGGAGAAGAGAGAGAGAGAGAGAGAAAGAATAAGAAGAAAAAGGAAGAAGGATGAGCAAGGAAAGGAAAGGAGGAAGAAGATGAAGTTTGCGAGAGAACCCAGATCTGGGTTTGCAGAGGCAAGGGAAAAGGAAAGGTAAAAGAGAGAGAAAGTGAAAGAGGAAGAAGAGATGACGTGGATGGAAAAAAAGGATATCAAAATTTTTAAATGAAATAAAAATGCCACCTCATAAAAAAAGATGGCCAACTGTGTTTTTTTTTTTCCATGTCATTAGTCAAGCAAAAAAACGAATTGATTTTGTGGCATTTTAACGTGCCACCTGTCATTTAAGTGATGGAAGGACTATTTTGGTACCAAAAATGAAAGTTTAAGGTTAATTTTGGTACTTTTTAAAGGTGAGGGACAATTTTGGTACCAAAGGGAAAGTTGAGGGACCAAAATGGTACTTAAACCAAAAAATTACTATTCGAATAAATCCCTAAACCTACTAAACCCAGGAAACTGAAAAAAACCGTGAAGTATAGAGTTAGAGACACAGAGCTGGCCAGTGCAAAACTGAGCTATTCCTATTGAAATAATCCACTAAATCTACTGATGAGAACCCCAAAGAGAACAATGAGATCCACAGCACGACAAGGGATTTCTAAACTCCAGGAAAGCTAAATCAGGTTTATAATAGAACCTTGTTGACCCTTTGTTTATGTCGCAACAAGAACCAAAGGTAAAAACCTTGACCCGTTGTCTATGATGCAACAAGAACCAGAGGTATAAAGTTGGTTGACGCCACATC